GGCTTCTGTAAAAAATTAAATACAGTTGTAGTGATTTTTTCGACTAAAACACAAAAACGACGCTCGGATCTAGGCCTGGGACACTTATTAAGGGACTCTCGACAAACATCGTTTACAAGGGCCGTCGTGGTAGATGGATACCAGAAATCAGGAAATTGCCAGAACACAACACCGAGGGCTTCATAAGGGGACGCTATCTCGAAAACTTCCCCCCAGACGTGCCTGGACGATAAAGGATATGGTTGCAAGACACGTAAGTACCAGCACACGTACTGAGCAAAAGAAAACTTTATTCCATAAAAAACTTTTTCAAGAGTATGTGACAGGCTGACTCCGGAGAAGACGCCTTAACCAAGCCGTGATACGTACCTTCACAACAGGTAGATTTCGTCTATTATTCTCAAACATCCCGGTCTTTCGTGGGTAAGGAAAGGAAAGGTTACCAGCTCAAACCAACTCCATATACATCTGCTTACTTATTTGCTCCTGTGGAGCAGGTTAAATTGGCCTCACGAATCGGCGCCTACTCAAACGAATAAGGGAATCCCTCCCGGCATGGCTGGGAAAAGGTGATGTCAGGAGCATAAACAGCACCTTTCTTGCCCACATGGTTGATATCGGGCATCATGTAGACCCCAACAAAGCCTTCCGGATGAGTTATAAGCTTCCACCAAACTACCGAAAATCCCTGGGAAGCGTCTGCTAGCAACAGCAAAAACAACCTTGATTTGGTTGCGACAGCCGATCATGTGTGCCCAAAGGACGTCCTACAAGCCCAGCGCCTGGTCCGGCTGCCACAGCTCGTTACTACCGTGTAACCAGTCACCTCTTAGCTAACCAAATCTGATTCCCAGGTGGTAAGTCAGAAGGAGAAAGGGCATTCACAGAGAGAGGTTTATTTTTTATCTGCCATTTCGGATAGTTGTCTCGTCTATCCATCTTCAGAAAGTGAATTCTCTGGCTCCTGGGTCTTCCTATATGCCGCTGCTTTCTACCAATCCAGTTTGAACCGCTCTGTGGCTCGCGTCTCTAGGTGGTCACCATAGACCGCTCCAACTCTGCTCGGCGTTGATACTGTCTGCAACTGGGGCGTCAGTATTTATTTGGCTCCCTGCGCGCTGGTCGTCTGTGTCGCATCGCCCACTCCCCCCGCGTCCCGCCATAGCCTGTATCATGGGTACGCAGGTTGACCGTATCGCTGGTTAACGGCCCCGATTGTTCCGCACCATGACTGTTCCCTGATGAGAATGTCCCAAACACAACATTGGGAGCCGGCGAATGCATGTGGTAGTTTACCGAACAGTCAGTCGACATCCAAGCCTCTTTAATCTACCCTGACGTGTAATCGTCACCTCAGCCCA